CGTTTGTGGGCCTTTATGAAATGGAAGGCGATAACTTTATTTAAAATATTGTCAAAAATACCAAAATGTTTCGAAAAGTTGGATACGGTTTTTAATATACTTTCAGAATGCTTAAAGAAAAAAGAAGAAAAATAAATTATTTCGTAAAAATTTAGTATTAGTATTTTTTTTAATTTAAAAACTTTTTTCAATCGTTTATGATATTTGATTCTTGCGATTTCAAAAATAAAATATTGACTAAGGTATGAATGACATTTTAAGAAACAAATGTAGGATAAAATTGTGTAAAGCAATGGGCACAATGATAAAACTGTTTAAAGCAATGTATGCAAGTCATCCTAAGTTAAAATCTCGGTTATACTCTCTCTTATTTATATATATCTTTTCTAAACGGAACATTGAAAGGCGTGTAAAAACTGTGCTTTACTGTATTTTCTCTTTTAATATAGTATGCAATTTTCAGATGCATCGTAGTCTGGGTTCAAAGTATTCTTTCGAAAGAAACGCAATTTAAATAAAATAAAATAAATTCCTGGAAAATTTATATTAATAAATAATTTTAAAATGCTCAGTTCGAAGGAATAAATAGAAAATTTTAAAACAATTATCTGAAGAGACAGTGCAACACAAACAATTAAAATAAAAGTATAAAAATTTAAAAATTACCTAAAATAATAACTATGAACGAAAAATATATATAAAGAAAACTATTTGAAAAAAAAAAACGCTGCACCTTTATTGACGCCAGTTCGAATAGGTAAATAGAAATTTTTAAAACAGTTATTCGAAAAAAAAAATGCAACTTAAACAATTAAAATGAAATTCGAAAAAGAAAAAATTACTTAAATAAATACAGTTATAATTAAAAATATAATATAAAGAACATTATTTGGAAAAAAGGAACGATGGTGACTTTTTTCCGCTAAGGAAAATAGGTTGCCATATATTAAGAAGTTCGCCAAGTGAAGTATTCTTGGCGCAAACTGACAAAAAAGTGCCAACATAAATTTGTGAATTTCTCCGTAAATTTCGCAACTAAATTTAACAAAATTTCATATTTAGGCATAATTTGAGTCGTAGAATCGAAATATGTAAAAAAATTGGTATGTTATTTCAGAAAAAGTCCATTTTGTGTCAAAATACCTTATGTTAGAATAGTGCTATATATAAATCTAATATATATCCTAAGTCGCGCTTTCGAGACATGAAGAACGCAATTTGAATTTTGTCAATCGGCCCAGTAGATCGGGAGATATAGGACTGTACCTCTTTTTTTTTTTTTTTTTTTTTTGAGCAGTGTACATTTTTTAATTAGTAGTATTCTTATTATTTTGTAAATTGTGTTACCCTTTAGGTAAAGCTTCATTAAGTAAGCTTCATTATTTCATAAATCACGATTTCATATTTTTAATTTTATAATTTCTACATGTCATCTTGCAAGCTTTAAACTAATGATCTAGTATCCGGAAAAATCCCCAATCGCTGAAGTCATGACGAGTCCGGATCTCAGACTTTGTACTGTAGTAGCATCCCATTATAGTCTATTATTGCAATTGAAAACATAAGCCCTAACATGTTAGATAAATATTCAGCCAAAATTTAAAAAACAACCTGTAAAGAATTAAATAGGAAAAAATTGTTTAAAAAGATGTTTATAATGTATATTATAGTTTTTTTTCCTGTGTAGTCAATTTTTAAAGTCAGACCTTGTTCCTTAATTTGCTACTCGTTGATTAAAAGCATTATTTTAGTACTATTACAGATAATTTTATTAACATTGTGCAAATTTTGTGTATGTGAGGGAACCAGAATTGACTAATAAAATATCTTTTGACGTTATTAAAAAAAAGTGTTTTCATTGCTGCCACTTTGCCTAAAAGAATGTTATGTTGTTTGCAGAAATCTTTTTATGGTCACTTTAAAAACACTAAATGATTAGTTGGAATTTTTAAAATTTTAAATGTCTAGTAATATCAAATTGTATGTGGGTCGAATGCTTGATCTGAAAGGAGCTGACAGGCCAGAGCATTTTTTTAAACAAAATTTAAAAACATTTTTAACAAAAGAAAAAAAAAACTGAGAAGGAAACAATTGAAAAATCTGAAAGCTTTTTTTTTTATTATTATTTATTTTTTTAATGTTTTGTGCGTTACCTTTATTTATTAAATATCATGTTCTTTGACTTTTAGCCATAAATGAAAAACTGTAAATTACAAAATACTGAAGCATTACCAGTTATCATCTGGCAAACTAAATTTACTGACTGTACCAATAAGAGAAATTCTCCCATGTTAGCCTAAGCATGTGGCCTGATGACAAGTATATAGTGGCAAAGCTCCAACATATTCATTGTTTTTCCTGTGAATAGTAGTAGCCCATATAAGCTCAGTATATGTCTTTGTCTCTAACCCTAATTACAATAAATACATAATTGAAATGCATTTGTGAGCTGCATAACAATGCTTTGGGGACCGAAAATTTGAGACCACTGCCTGAAATACAAATTTCTGTAAATAAATGTTCATTGTGCTTATCAGTAAAGGATATATATTGAAATATCTCTGAATCAAAACCTTTTGAAAATTTGTCCTCCTTAAAGAGTGAGCCATATTTGAAACTATTAGCATGTCCTGGCTGCCAGCTCTCAGTCTCTCAGTGGTTCATAACATCTCCAGGTTTTTAATTTTTAGCTTTTACTAAGGAAAGTGTTTCCCAGCAGTAAAGGAAATTTAAACTAGGCAAATTCCATTTTCCCATCTTTATTGATTTTCAGAACAATTTTCCTTATTAAATTTTGTTTCATCTGAATTGTATTTTTTATTACATTCTATTGATCTAGTTACATTTCATTTGATCTGAGTTGTCTTAATCTACTGTAGACAGTTGTTGATTTTTATATGATTCAAGCAATGTTTAATCTGTTGATATTTGTATTTAATTTTGTTTGCTTCATCATACATTACCAAGTTTATCCATGTAAATATTATTTATGCATACTAGTTATTAATTTTACTGTCATCATATTTAAAAGTACTTTCATAAATAAAAGCTTTCTTTCCTACTTCTCTCAGTGTACAAGTGTAAGAAAATTAAATTAGGACATAAAATTTAGAATACCCAATTAAATGCTAATATATTTTATATCATAATTGAATTACAATTAGTTCATTAATTTGAACTAGGCATTATAAAATAAGTTAAAGGTCAATCTGGAGTTCCTTTAAAATGATGTCACCTTACAGTGCGAAAATAATCCAGTTTTAAGATTTGAAAGTTGGCAGCTGTGGCATAATGTGTGAAATCCATCTAGCATAACTTAATATTTTTAAGTTTTAATTTATTATTTCTGTGGTCTGTCTTTTTTTTTTTTTTTTTTTTTTTTAGAGGTATGTTTGTAAGTAAAGTTTAAAAAAAATTCATTTGATTGCGATAATCTAATTTGCATGTGAAAATGCCAGTGCAAAAGTTTTTTTTATATGGGTTTTTATTTTTCAGAGGCATTGGTTCCAATTCTAAATGAAAGAGCAGGATTTCCTGAAGATACTGAATTGATGTTATATGAGGCACGAGTTTCTTCTTCTGCTATATCTTTATTTTATTTTTTCATTATTTTTAAAGAAATACATTTCTAAAATTATCTCCTTAATATAATTTCCAGGAAGTTAAACCAAATGTTGTGGAGCGTATTGAGAATATAGACCTTCCTTTGGAGAAGGTTTTAGACGAGCTCATGGATGGAGACATCATTGTTTTTCAAAGAGCTGATATAAACTTTACAGACTGTGAACTGCCCACTGTAAAAGAGTACTTTCGGTAATCACTAAACGTTTAACCTTATCTAACTTTTAAATAACTCAAATTTTATCTTAAAATTTAACCATATTTTAAAAAAACTTTTAATAATTTATCTTGTTAAAACACAAATTGATGTTTGTATGGTATGGGCTTTCTGTATTGTACATCACTGTGGAAATTATGCATAATATAATCATGTAAATGTATCTGATTTCGAATTTATTTTAATTTTTTTATAAATATAAAAAAATTACAATCTAATCTTTGAATTCAGAGTCTAGTTTAACATCCAAATAAATAAGAAGTTATAATAAGTGCAGTTTTATAAGTATAAAAAATTACAATCTGATCAATGTATTCAAATTCTAGTTTAACACCTGGCATAATTTTAAATAAAAAGTTATTATGATTCTACTGATTGAAGAATTTAATCCTAAAAAAATCAAGCTGTAGAACATAAAATTGCACACTTTAAATGAACTGTTTAAAACAGCCAGCTGTGCTAAAGAGTAGTAGGCAACTTGCTATGATTGTATTCTTACATTTGCATTTATTTAATGAAGATAGGATTTAATTATTTAAGATGTAACTGTGCCATTTTTTAAACTTACAGTGCTTGTGTGCAAGACATTATAAATATTTTTATAATAGAGAAAGAAGGTTTAATTACTGTTTTGCCTAAACAGGAAATTTGCATATTTGAAATACTAATACTTTTACTAATGTATAAAAGATTGGAGCTCGCAACCATAGCATTGCACAGAAGTGTCAAGCAATGACAAAAGAAAGTGGGGTTTATTATTAGGTAAAAAGTTTTTATACTTAGTGGGTTTATGTTTGCCAGTCTCTTATGTTAATAAAAATGCACAAGACCATTTTCCTTAGCCAACAAAATTATTTGAAAGTTAAATGCAAAACAGTACAATATCTGAGATCCAGAATCACTGGGATGTCAACAATTTCGAAAATTTCTTAATTTTAAATAATCATTTTAAATCTAGTAAGATGACATGTAAGCATGGCACAACTGAAACTTCACTTATTGTTTAGGCAGATATAAAGAACATGACAATGGGACCTTCTGGAAGGTGGAGTGAGTGAGGAAAAAACCATTGGCTTTCTTGCATGCAGTCCAGCCTCGTTAAGTCTTTATGGAGCAGTAGAACAGCTAATTTGAGTTTCTGTTCTGATGCAGTTGTTGCTCTTGATCCTTCTTGATTAGGCTGTGTATCAACTGATAAAGTGCTGAAAAAGCAGCTCCAAACTTTTGATATGATACTTTGAGAGATATTCAGATCTTTTTCGACCTCCGTTTTTGTTTGACCTTGATTCTATTAATTGCACCTGATCTTCACTTAAATGATGCCTTTGATACATAACTTAGCGAAAACTGATCACTGTCAGAAACAGCATTCACTTTAAACTATACTACAGACCGGAATTCCTACATGCTTCCATTCTCACTACATTGTCAGTAACCAAATTTGCATATTTTTGGTGCTAACGTATTCATGAAAGTGCAATTTGTTGTTCAATTGTATTTACTTAACCTAAATAATTACAGCATTGGGCGTAACATTAACTTAGTGAGCATATGTTTTGTCATTATCTTTTAATTTTGATAACCAGTTTAAGTATTTTTGAGTCCATGTCCCGCAAAGTCCTTAATAAAGAAACCTTAGCATCAGAGTTTCTCAGAGGTGTTTTTATTTACAGCATTTAGTTCTACAAGGTAAGTCGAGAGAATTCTGCATTATAATGCATAACTTTTTAAAGAATATTCTTTTTAGAATAACAAATGTTAACCCAAACTAAATGTTTCCATTTACAAGTTGTATTAATAAGATATCATTTGCATTTATTTAAAGCTATTGTGCTTATATTAAATGAAATAAAAACCAGAGGATAACAATACCTGTTATTAGCTGAAGCCTTGGTCATCATTTAATGAGAGAATGATTTTGTCCAGTTTCAAGCTTTTGAAGGAAGATACCCTTATACTTCTAGCTGTCTTTCTTTACCAAATGTTCCTCAACGTTTTGGTTCAGTATTATGCAAAGTGCCCACATACCCCAGAGACATTGTATGAACATCTATGTATCGAATGTAAGAGGAATTTAGAAATTTTTTATAGGAAAAGAGTTGATTAGAAAACAGTGAAATGGCTAACATTTGTTAAGTTTCATTACATTAAAAGATGAAACTTGAATTTTAAGGTTTTAATTTTTCCAGTCTGTATTTAATGTAGAGTTTTATAATCTAGATATATTTGATGTTTTGTAGACATATAGATGAAGTTAAATTAACAAAGCAACAACCCTGTGTTTGGCATAAATTTTAGTGAAGACTCTCTCAAGTATCAAGGACAAACAAATTAACTTTTCATTGTGAGCAAAGAATTAAGCATGTTTATATTTATACCCAAAAGTAGTAAAACAAACAAGAAGGTAGCACCATGTGTTGCCGTAAATAGTAACAAAAATTTAAAAATTAAGATAATGGAATTTTAAAAGCCTTAGGATTGACTGGATTGAAAATAAAGTCATTAACTAAAGCTAAACCTTTGTGAGTGGGAAAAGCTGCAAGAAAATCCAAGTAACCATTGGAAGAGGCATTTTGGATAAATTTTAAGGCCTGAAGTCAAAATCATGACTAAATTTCCAACTGTGATTAGCTATTGGAGACTTGTTAATTTCACTTTTTCAGACATTAAATTTCATGTTCCTTGATGTAAAATGCTGATTTATCTCAAATACAAGGACAAGATATGCTTTAAATTCCCCAAGAATTAACCCCTTAACGCATTTGCCCGTGTCTCACACGGGCGAAAGTTTCCGGCAAATTTGCACATGCCCATGTCTCACACGGGCGCCCTTGTATCTAGCGTTATTTTATTTCTAATGCTTGTCTGAGATCCGTTCCAGTAAAAATAAATAGGCTAGATTATAATTAAACTTATTTGACATAGATGGCACCACTATTCAGCATTTTTCTTGTGTAAACCACGTGGTGCATTTTGATGATTAGCTATAAGTTTGCTAGGAATTCTTTGCTATAAAGTAGTCGTTTGGTGTGGAAAAGGTAATATATATCCATTTTTATTACGTAAATATAATAAAAGTAAGCAGTTAACTGCAAATTATATTACTAAGTGTTTTTGTAATTTAAAAAAAGTTATCTGATAATGAGCGACTCTTGACAATGACAATTTTGAATATGCCAATTTATCAGACAGTTTCAGCGATGAGAGTGGTGATTTCTTAAGTGATGGAAGTGAATCGGAAGATAATGACAACGAGATTTTGGATATAGCAAGGAATTGGTATCAAATTAGTATAAATCAACCAAACGTTGCACCACCAAGATTTCGATTTGAAGCTAACCCTGTCTGTTATGCATATATATGATTATGCAAGAAAAAAAATAGGTGATTTTTTGACCGAAAATTAGAAATTAATGTGTGCCTTAAGGGGTTAAAGGTAGAAAATGCCAAACGTAGGTTTGGTGCTTTGCTGATTTTAAGTTTTAGTTTGGTGTGTTTTTCATCTGTCTTGTTATGAATGAAGTCTGATACTGATATATTAGTTGTTTACTGTAAATAAGCATAATCTGGGGCTAATATTGAATTTTTTAGTGACCTGTTTCACCGAGTTGAAGTTACTTTCTGTGATAAAACCCTTCCTCTTGATCCTGGCTTTACAATGGAATTATCCTTAAAAATGACATACGATCAGGTATAATATTTCAACATTACAATTATTAGGATTTTTTAATATATTTAGCTATTTTTTAATTTCTCATTTTTTAATGTTTTGTCTTTTATGGGTATGTAGAAGGTTTTGCATAAGGAAACAACTTAATGTGTTGTCTAGTACTAAAATGTATAATTGCTTAAAAAAGAACTTCCAAAGGACAATTTTAAAACTTAGAAATATGTTATATTTTTATATTCCAAATGAAAATTTTAAAATTTAACTTGGAAATATGTGTATATTTTTATAACAACTGTTATTGAAACATTTCCTACTGTATGAAAATATATCTGTAATTAGAATAGGCAATAATTAATTCACTTTACAAAGCTATTCTAACATAGGTATTTTGACACAAAATCGGACTTTTTCTGAAATGACATGCCAATTTTTTTCCATATTTCCATTCTATGACTTAAATTATGCCTAATTTAAAAATTTTGTAAAGTTTGGTTTGAAATTTATGGAGAAATTCAAACCGCAATTTTTTTAATTTGCACCAGGACTAATTCACTTGCTGAATTTCTTAATACAGTACAAAGTCCGTAATCCGGACTCGTTGGACTTCGGTGATTCCGAATTAGGAGTTTTTCCAGATTATAGGTCATCAATTTAAGTCTGGTAAGATGGCATGCAGAAATTATACAATTAAAAATATGAAACCGTAATTTATGAAATAAAGAGCAATTATGATCTAAAGGTTATCAAAATTTACAAAAAAAAAAAAAAAAAAAAAAAAAAAAAAAAAGAAAAAAGAAAAAAAAGAAAAAGTAATATTTATTTACTTTATTAAACATTTCTCTCAATGTAAGTTGTTTAAGTTGCTTCGTTTTTTGTGCTAATACTTTCTCTTTAATTCTTTCTTCTATTAAAGAGATATAATTTCTTGTTCAGTTACAAAGTTCCACTATTCAAATCCTGTAATTGCTGTGTTGAGAATACTAACTTGTCAATTGAAATTTTTTCGTTTTCAATAACCTCTCTGTCACTTTCTTCACTATCGGAAGCACGCATGTGTAAACGCTTTACTGGCTTTATGCGCATGCATAGTGGATGCACGCATCAAATGCGCATGCTTAAGTTTGTGGCTTTGAGTTCCGGATTATAGATCATTCCAGATAATGGACGTCCAGATTATGGTCTTTGTACTGTATACTGCAGCCTATTTTTCTTTCCCTTCCATTATGCATGTGAAAAAAAAAAAAAAAAAGAAGTCAAATCATTCCTACTTGCAAATAATTTTAACAAAGTGCCTAAACCACATTTTCATTATTATGGCTTCTAATAAATACGCCAAATTTCAAAACGCGCCGAAAAATAAATTTACGTATATCTTTGGAAATTTTGAATAAAAATTTATAATTTTTTTGCAGGCATGCTTGGAAATGCATCTACTTTGATATGATGGCAAAAATTTTATAGGTTAAAATTCAAAATTTTTTCAAAAATATATAAAAGTTATTTAAAAATACAAATTTTTAAAATAACTCACAAAAAATGGGCGAATTTGGTTTGGAATTTAAAAAATTTTGAAATGTGAAAGGAAGAGTCAAATAAGTTTAATAAAAAAAAAAGAGATATTATTAAATATGTACCAAACTCAATTAACGCTGAGGAGCTAAAATTTTGAAAGCTAATTTTTTCAAAGCTACTGGAGTGATTTTTACAAAACTTCGCAGTTTGATACAGGGTTCGTACGATCCTTAAGAGTCCTTAAAAGTCCTTACATTTTTTGGAATCAATTTTTGGTCCTTAAAAGTCCTTAATTTTGGCTAAAATCAGCAGAAGGTCCTTAATTTTAATCATCTGAAATTTCTGTCTCTTTTTACGACTGCCATTTTGAGTGTGAATTATTATTTTGGAGGAATATTTTTTGGTGATTCACTGTCGTATATGGTTATCTTTTGAATGGGTTCATGGATTATAATGTGTTTCTATTTCTAATATAAATGATGAGATACTTGAGTTTCTAAGCAAGAAGTATTTCGAAATTTATTTTTTCTAATAAAGAGCTCTTAAACAACTTTTCGCTTTTGAGGATGTCGATTCTTTTATTAAACGGTTCTAAATTTCGCTACATATCAACATTTTGGCGATTTTAAGATCAGTTTCTATAGAAAATTTTTAATTCTGAGATCTGAGAATTTTTCGATTTTTTTTAAACATCGTAACATTGATAAATTTCATTAAAATAATGGTAACATTTTGAAATTATATTTAAAAAATAACATTAAAATAAAGACTTTTATTTTTTGCTGTCACATTATAAAATTTCATTTTGGCAACTTATACAAAATTTTGAATCTGAAAAATAAACAAGGTATAATGCTATGAGGCACAGTTTACGAAACAGCTCTCAGCAAAAGCAAAATTAGCTATGTAATTAATTAAAAATGTCTTCTTTTTAATTTTTTCATAGTAAGAGTTTTTCCCCATATAATTATCTCAGAATATTCAAAATTCTCAGAGTATGCATCAGTTTTCTCTATAAAATAAATTTTGCACTTTTTCCCTCCTCCTTTTTTTTTCAAAATATTTCTGGCTTTTTACTGTTACAGAATTGGTAGAGATAATTTTTCTTTAGGATTTTAGACATTGCTGCTTGGATAGTTTAGAAGGATTTGAAGGCAGGATTTATAGAGCCACGATTCTAGAAAATTCAAGAACTGTGTGACAAAACGAAAAATGTCTCCATGGTATTAATTCATGATGGATGCATTTTATAGAAAGTCTGCAATGGATTTCTTACTTTTTGGAGAACGTCTGAAAGAACAATGAAAACATAATATTTGAATGTTTCATTTCTGATACTAGAATCTTAAGATGAATCTTCCCTTTATTTTCTCTACATTTCACTAGACACAAGCATGGAAAATATCAAAAATGCTTCTTATCTTATCACATGGGCAGGCATTATAGAAATCGATTTTTTTATTAATAAAGAAATTAAAAACTTACAATTTAAAAGATTCATCTAATATGTTTTAATGCATCATCATTCATCAATACACATGGCTGACACTAGGCAGTTTCCCACCTGATGTAGTCTCGTGGATCCTAAATTCTGCTTCCAGTGCCTGTCTAAATTCTAAAAGTTTGTCATTTCTAGTTTTTTGTTGTTATGTGTCATTAATTCTAAAATTCTGCACATCAGCTCTGTAACTGATCTTTACCATATATATTTCATATTTTTTCTGAATGTTCATATTACTAAAGAAATAAAATTAGCCTCTTTTTCTGTACATTCTAAATGCATTTAGTGTTTTTTAGAATAACAGAAATCCTTAATTAAATCCAAAACTTTTAAAATGAAAATGAAATGTGTTGAAGAAAGAAACTGAATGCACAAAGAAAATTATTCTTCAAAGATATGTGTAGTTGTTATTATGTTAATTACTCAGTTGTTTATGATTTCAGTCTTTACTATAATTTCCCATTTCTATTTCTTCATAGGATAGAGTTACTGAGCCAGATTAAATTAAAATTAAATTATATAATCTTTGACAACTAGTCCACATTTTTAGTTTGAATTTGTGTTTAATTACATCACTGTGAGCTGTAATTGATTTTGTTAGCACATCATTTATGCATACATTTATGTTTTAAGTTCTTTTTAAATAAGAGGCTTATTTAAACCTTTGTCTGATATTGTAGTTACTTTCAGACATAGCGATAATATGCTTCACGACTTTCGGGGGTTTTCGTCTATTTAACTTTTACCAGATCGAGTAAACCCTCATAGGTACATTGTGGAGAGGTTGACAAGTTAGGAGATAAAGCACGAAGAAACTAGCGAGAGCAGTGGTTTTGCATATTAAAATAAATCTCTAATTGTTAGAAAAGATGCTTAAAGAGAAGGAAATCGATATAAACTTGCCAAAATGTCTGAAAAAGCTTCAAATTAAAATGATGGATAAATATTTTGTTGGGTGTTGTAACAAAACGTGAATGTTTTGTAGCTTTTAATGTGTAATTATCCTGATATGGTTTAAAAATCAATGTCATAAATTACATTTATTTTAAACTGTGAAATTTTATTAGATTTTAATTTTAATAAAGCTTTTTTTTTAACAAATATTGTTAAAAATAAAATTTAATAGTGGCCATGTAACTCCATAATGACTAAGGTTATTAAACTACCTAATTTAATTATTTATAACTAATTGCTTACCCTTAAAAATTATCTCTACATAATAAAGCGAGTTATTGCCTTTCATTAATACTCACTGTGGTCACAAGGTAATATGCAAAAATGTAAGAATTCAAGTAAAACTTATTCTTTGCATCTAGTGAGACTTAAACAATATAAAACAACTTATCACCTCTGGGGTTTTAATGGCTTATTGGAACCTTAAAGTTATCAGCCCCTCAAGCTCTACACGAAGCTATGAAACTAACAGCATCAAACAGAGCCTGACTAACTTTCAACACTTGACCAACCGTGCCTTACATCAGGCCTATTAGGTTTGTTCTAATCAGCAGGTCTCTCTCTAGCAAAGCAGTAGCAGGTGACAACATTCAGTCTTTTGTTATGAATCATGCTGATTATGATCTTACTTATTTTAACCTATACCGTTTGACATAAAATCTACCTGCTATTTACTAAACCTCTAGACTGACCAAGTATCTGACAAAATGAGACATAAAAAAAAATCAACATAAAGCTGTTAGTAAAACATAAATGTCACTTACCTTCTTTCTAATATGTCCAACTATTATAAGTGTAAAATATTTAATGCTATTTGATAAATTTCATAAAGTTTATTTTATTCACAAACTTGTTAATAATTATGTTAATTAATTCATGTTTAGTAATAATGCATACTACTTAGAGATCTATTTTATTTTTAGGATGGTATTACAAAAGTGAAATTCAGGCATAGATAATATTTTTAATTGAATTGATTCAGTTCCCATTCGCTCATAGGTCCTTAATTGTTTTAATTAATTGTCCTTAACAGTACTTAATTTCCGTGTGCAGA